TCTTTATTGTAGTTTCTAAACATTGGCAATATATATATATATATATATATATATATATATATATATATATATACACACACACACACACACATATATATATATATATATATATATATATATATATATATATATATATATATATATATATATATATATATATACATAAATATATATGATAAAATATAGTTTTAAGGTATGCTATATTTATGTGTTAAAGTTCTCAATATCAGCATATGTAAATATAAATGTGGACACTGAAGTCAACACCCAGAGGCAACAGTCTACTTCATGCTAAACACAATTGTCAGGCTATGACGTCAGGCCATGATGTCAGGCTATGATGTCAGGCCTGATAATTGTCTTTAGGATGAAACAGGCTGTTGCCTCTGGGTGTTGACTTTAATGGCCACTTTTACCATATATTTCCACATATAAGGCGACCTTTAGATAAGATGAGGTCAAAAAATATAGCAAATTTTCATGAATTTATCCTATAACTGTAGTATAAGGCAACTGCTTATTGATTATATAAAGATAATGTTATTCAAAATATTGTTACTTACTGTATCCTAAGGAATTCAAAATAAATGAAATAACAAGACCGATTCCATATCATGTCTTTCCTATATGCATCCCCTAAAAGGGAAACCATTGTTTTGTTTATGTTTCATCATATGATTTCTTGTGAATAATGGTTCTTCTTCTCCTTCCTCTTCTTTTCCTATATCTAAACGGTTACAAACAGCCTGGTGTACTAATAGCCATTTACTTATACTTTATCAACAATCACAAAATACTACTAACAGTATGATAGTGTATGATAATAGTACATTCCATTGCTGTGAACGCAGTCATAACTAAGTGTTTACATTTTCTCAGCTAAGCTTGCATGGATACAAGTTGATTTCATTGATTTGGAATTATTCTTCGAATAGGCAATTTATTATGAAGTTATGCCAGTAATATATAAGGTAGAAATGGTTTTATTACTTTTATTGTCAGTTTATTTGATACTGGGAATCTTTTCATGTACGTTATATCTGGCCTTCTTCAGGTGATTAGAATTTTGAACTGAACACTTTATTTCATCCACCAGGATAGATTGTTCTAGTTCCACATGTCATGCCTCTTCTGGATGTCTTAGTATCAGTTATTTCTCTTTAACTCAACTCTCAAGGATGCAGTGGATAAAAGTGTTGGTTGAAGTAATCCAGTGACTTGATCCAAAGAGTTGTGAGTTCAATACCTGGCCACAGCAGAGGTGAACAATAACTTGGAGAGTTGAGTTAAATAGAAATAACTGATATAGAGATATCTGGAAGAGGAATGGCACAGGGACTAAATAAAGGGTTGGTTTCAAAATTCCAATCACTTGAAGCAGGCTGGAGAATACAACGGCTGAAATGTGAATATGACAAGATGAGTATAACAGTCCGAACAATGTAAATAGGGTAAATTAATTCATTGCTATTCATTGTTCATTGTCCTAGAAGCACTTCTAAAGGATGAAACCCGTTATGCAGAATTATTCAGTTGCCTAACGTTCTTATGTAAAAAAAATTATATTTCATATTCTCCCATACATACTGAGTCAGATTTTACATCGCAAGTCAATGTTTGCACAATAAAATTGGTATATGTTGATATATATTTACATTAAATATTAATATTAAATTATACTGGGGGATCAGTTTTGTATTGTTATTAAGTAATAAACTGATCCTCCCAAATTATTATATTTTGTCAAATTTTATCATGCAAGTCAATATTTTCACAATAAAATTGGTATTAACCAACTGATGTTTAGAAAATTTTCCAGATATATATTGTACTGATTATATTGTTACCCTTTCATTTGTCCTTGTTTTTTTAACTAACCTATCTATTTTACATAAATGTATATATATATATATATATATATATATATATATATATATTTAATCGTGTTCACCCCAAGCAAAGCAGTAAAGCCACTAAGGCACAAGGAAGTGTGGAAGAACTAGAAAATAGGAACATTAAAAAAGTAATCAGGAACTAAGAACAGAACATGAAGTGGGGGATCAATTTTGTATTGTTAATAAGTAATAAACTGATCCCTGCCAAATTATTATACCTTGTTAAATTATATTATGCAAGTCAGTGTTTGCACAATAAAATTGGTATTAACTAAGTGATATTTTTAGAATTTACTTATATCAGCAATATATTATGTGACATTCAGCTTTTAATACCTAAAAATACTGATAATGACTTGTTTTGGAGGTTTTGTTAAACAAGCAATCTAAGTGCAATGTAATTTTTTTATAAAACATCTAAAAGATATAAGCTATAGAAACATATAATTAGAACAATAAGATTGTTATAATATTTATTATGCAAGTGTATTGAATATAATTTTCAATACATTTTTATAATAGATAAATACATCTTATCAGGGTTTTATAACAGATCATATTCAGTATATTTATATAATGAGTACATCTGACTGGGTCTTTACAGCAGATCATAATAAATACATCTTAAAAATAAATACTTTCTATGAGTTTTTTTATAACAGATCATGCTCAGTACAAATATATAATGAATACTTCCTACCATGGTTTTAAAATAGATTATGTTCAATACATTTTTCTAACTACTATTAGGTTTTTATAAAAGATCATATTCAATACATTTTTTATAATAAATACTATCAGGTTGTTATAATAGATCATGTTAATTACAAGTATTTAATGAATATTTCCTGCCATGATTTTATAATAAACCATGTTCAGTACACTTATATAATCAATATATCTGACCAGGTCTTTAAAGCAGATCATAATAAATACATTTTTAAAATAAATACTTTCTATGAGTTTTTTTTTAATAATAGATCATGTTCAATACATTTTTATAATAAATACTATCAGATTATTATAAAAGATCCTATTCAATACAAGTATATAATGAATATTGCCTACCAGATATGATTCTATTACAAGTTTTAAAAAATTTGCATACAAAAAAATTTAAACTGTTGGGTGTCTCAACCTCATATATACATTTTAAAGGATTTATAAATATGTCTATTAACATTATATAAATATATTGCATTAAAAATTTTTATAATATGATATTATGCCTGATATTATTAATGGTTATTTTATTATTTTTCATGTTAATATGTGCTTTGTTGATATTCTAGGAATTTCACCAGTCTTTTATTCATTGATTTTGTTAATTTTGTATTCTTTTGCCCTTAATAATACTTGCCATAATTTTATCATAATAAAATAAAATGCAAAATTTATTTACTATAAAATATTATTTTTATAATAAATGATATATCTATATTAGATCATATCCAATAGAGTTGTATAAATACTTCTTAACAGATTTAATAATAAAAATATATTAACTACATTGGATAAATAATTACTTCTAACCAAGTATTAATGTTAGATCAGATTCAATACATTTGTATAATAAATACAGGGTTCTACAATATTTAGTACATTTATATAATGAATACATCTTACTAAGTTTTTGTAACAGATTATAATCAATACATTCTTTTAATAAATACTTTATATCAGATTTTTATAAGGGATCATATTCAATACACATACTTTTAATGAATACATCCTACCATAGGTTTATAATAGATCATATTCAATACATTCACATAATGAATACATCTTCCATGCTTTATAATAGATCATGTTCAATACATTTTTTATAATAAATACTATCAGGTTTTTATAATAAATCATGCTCAATACCAGTATATAATGAATACATCTTACCATGTTTTTATAATAGATCTTATTTAATTTATTTTTATTATAAATACTATCAGGTTTTTATAACAGATCATGTTCAATACATTTTTATAATGAACACTTTTAGATAGATTTTCATAACAGAATATATTCAATACATCTTTCTAATAAATACTTCCTACCAGATTTTAAAATAAGATTATATTAGGATCTTTAAAAAAATTGGATATATTAGAAAAAAGATATTATTGTTAAAGATTTCTAAGATTCATATCTGGTAGGCAATATTCATTATATACTTGTATTGAATATGATCTTTTATAAAAATCTGATAGTATTTATTATAAAAATGTATTGAACATGATCTATTATAAAAAAAACTCATAGAAAGTATTTATTTTAAAAATGTATTTATGTGGATCTATTTTGCATGCTTTTATCAATTTTGCATGCTTTTATCAATTTTGTATACTTTTATCAATTTTGCATACTTTTATCAATTTTGCTTATTTTATCAATTTTGCTTATTTTTATTAATTTTGCATGCTTTCATCAATTTCACATACTTTTATCAATTTTGTTTATTTTATCAATTTTGTTTATTTTTATCAATTTTGCATGCTTTTATCAATTTTGCATATTTTTATCAATTTTGCTTATTTTATCAATTTCACTTATTTTTATCAATTTTGCATGTTTTATCAATTTTGTATACTTTTATCAATTTCGCATACTTTTATCAATTTTGCTTATTTTTATCAATTTTGTAGACTTTTATCAATTTTAGTTACTTTTTATCAATTTTACATCCTTAAATCAATTTTGGTTGCTTTTATCAATTTTGCATGCTTTTATCAATTTTACATGCTTTTATCAATTTTACATACTTTTTATCAATTTTACATCATTAAATCAATTTTGGATACTTTTATCAATTTTACATGCTTTTATCAATTTTGCATATTTTTATCAATTTTGCATACTTTTATCAATTTTGCATATTTTTATCAATTTTTCATACTTTTATGAATTTTGCAAATTTTTATCAATTTTGAATGCTTTTATCAATTTTGTATATTTTTATCAATTTTGCATGCCTTTATCAATGATAATGACAGGGCTAAGCAAAGAAAGAAATAAACTAAGTGATCCCTACTTATGAAAGTAACTACATAATAATTGACAAGAGGTGATTGCAATAATTGATTAGTTATTACAAAGTAATCAAGTACAGACCTAGTCCCTCGTTACCATGTCCAGTATCCTCATTCCAGCCATCCTCATTTTCACTGTCAGGAATCATAAATTGCCTGTGTTCACTTTCATCACCGCAAGAAGTCCCTCCAAGTTCCTGAGATTAGTAGAACACAAAGAACAAAGGAAACAGTATTACACCATACTGCACAAAGACATAAGAGGCGGCATTTGGGTGGATGGCACCCAGATGAAAGTATGCTATCTATCTATCTATCTATCTATATATATATATATATATATATATATATATATATATATATATATAAATAAATATTATTTAAAATTTGATATATTTATAGAGTTAACTGTGCTCAATATCAGTGATTATAGTGTTTACAGATATAGACAATATGGACATAGGAATCAAGACAGAATGGTGACCATCAGTTTCACACATTGATGTGATCTTCAGAGCAAGTGCCACTATTCCTGTGGTCGGTGGTGAATAGGAAGAAAGCAGTCCTTTCTCATTTCTTTTGATCAGGTTTTTTTTTTATTGTTATAACCTTTAGGTTTCTTATTTATTTCTTCATTTATATATTTAAATTACTGGTAAGTGCTGGTGTCTTCTTTCCTCTAATCCACCCCCCCACTGACCTATAGCTCATGACAGAATTACTGGTACTTGATCTGAAGATCACATTGATGTGTAAAACTAACAGCCACTATTCAGTGTTGCTTCCTATGTTCACTTTCTCTCTCTTTCTTTTCTTCTCACTCTGTATATATATATATATATATATATATATATATATATATATATACACAATGGTAAAATGACTTCATTCATGTTGCCCAGATGAATGAGAAAATTGCAAAGCTATATATATATATATATATATATATATATATATATATATACCTACTGGTTTTTCTTGTTCATCTGAACAACATAAAATCATTTTACCATTATATATATATATATATATATATATATATATATATATATATATATATATATATATATAACATATTCACTTTCTCTTTCTTTCCCTCATTCTTTATACATATATATATATATATATATATATATATATATATATATATGATGGTGTGATGGAAAAAAGGTTGATATTATTAATAATTGGTTAAAATAATTATTTTACATTTATTATTAAAAAGACATATGTGGTTGTATTTGAGTAGAAGGCACTGAATTGAAAGTATTCTCTCTATCTATCTATCTGTCAAAATAAATATATTAATTATATTATGGTGGGTAATGGAATGATAAAATGGAAAAAATTCTATGTAACAAGTTTCAACCTTTCAAAAAGGGACTAAAACAGTATTCTTAGTGATGGAATTATATATAGGAAATGGAGGTGAAAATATAAAGAAAAAAGTTGGTTTGTAATTATGCTTCAAGAGGAATGCTGAAGGTGTAGGGATGCTAAATTCTGAATTAAAACTTTTTAAATATCAAGCATCTGATTTGCCTAGACATATAGCTTGGTTGATTTTGCGCAATTGCTCAAAGCTTTTGCTTTTATCACTTTTGTTTTAGATATTACACACTACAGCAATAAAAGATTCATTAAGAATGATTAAGTCCTTTTAAAGGACAAAATGTGTTACATAGAATTTTTTCAATTTTGTCATTCAACTACAAACTATTAGTTTGATATGAAGAGATTATATAATATGTAAACAGATATAAACAGTGCAGACATAGGAATCACCACTGCCTGGTGACTATCAGTTTCATGCCCCAATATGATCTTCAAACCAACTGTTACTATTCCTTTTGTGGGCTTTATATATAAGTCACAGGGAAATTAAAGGAGTGTGTGGAAGGAGGAAACTAGTCCATCCCATTTCATTTGTTATGGGCTAATGCTTAGGTTTATTTATGGTCATGACCACTAGATTGTTTATTTATATATTTATTTATTATTTTATTTGTTTATATATTTCATTTACCAGGAAAGGCTGGTTTTGTTCGCCTTCCCATTATACTCAATTCCCTAGTGACCTGTATTTTATATATTAAAATTAAAATAGTTGTGGCACTTTGACTGAAATTCACATTGAGGCATGAAACTTATATGCACTATGCAGTGTCAGTTGCTATGTCCACGCTGTCAAACTCTTTCTATCTCTCTCTCTCTCTCTCTCTCTCTATATATATATATATATATATATATATATATATATATATAGATAATATAATTTTTTGAATTTGTAGGTCTGATGAATTGGATCGTATTTACATTCCAATGGAAGAAATTATGACCATGGAATATTAGTGTTTAAGCCTTTTTATTATATATATATATATATATATATATATATATATATATATATATATACCTAGCAGCATCAGTTATTATATCCACACAGTCTCTCTCTCTTTTCTTTTTATATATATATATATATATATATATATATATATATATATATATTCAAACAGGTTTTGTTAGATAATTTAGGCATATCATGCTGATTAGTTTGCGTTGTGATCCTTTCAAGCCCTAGAAAATTGATTAAGAAAAATACCAAAAATTTTCTTTCAAATAGTTTTTATTTTCCCACGTACATTCATTCTCATCTAAGACCATCTTCAGCGGGTTATTTGGCCGGGAGTATGTATC